TCAGTGCTGCTCTGTCACCTCTCCTCTCTTTATGAGTCTAGTCTTTTAAAAACACACTGGATTTATAGTCAGTTTGGGCGCAATCTCCCACACGGTGTGTGCGAGTGTGTGCGACAGAGAGTGTTGAGTCAAGAAAAATATATTTTTTTCCCCCAGCCCTGAAAACCGAACACCGGACCTAATGTAGAAAATGAGTCTTGTTTGCTGTCAAACGAGGAATTAAACACATAAACATTTAAAGAGACGAGAGGGTTATTAGCGCCATGTGTTACTTCAACGCTACGGTATGTTACACTGAGAGAGAGAGAGAGAGAGAGAGATAGTAAAGGTGCCACTGGGAATTATCTACTGTATTATTCTGACAACATTCAGCTAATATATCGCTCGTCTCGGAGTATAAATGCAGGCGGTAACTAATCAATGAATAAACCAGGTAGAAGAACATTTGATTTATCAAAAATAGTTAGAATATCTACAGCAAAACATTATGTGAGGATGGAGGAAGATGTGTGCAGTTCAGCTGGGTTAATATTTTACATCACACACAAGGAGGATAAATGACATTCTCATTATTATATAATAAAAAGATTTCAAAAGAAGAATTTTACAACTACACTAAGAGCCAGTGTGTGGTGCTGGAGATCAGCGGATTCAACGGCTTGGACATGTCCTCAGAATGGACCAGAACTGCATACCTAAAAAATCGCCCAGAGATGGACACCACCTGGAAAACGCAAACAAGGTCAGCCCAAAGCAACATGGCGGCCAAGTGTGACGGCCAAGCTGAAAGAGATATGTCTGACATGGGCCCAGGACAGGCCCGGATGGAGGCAGATCATGGATGTCTTATTACCCTCAAGGGACAAATAGGACTGACTAATTCACTCAGTCATTATTATACTGTAAAAAGAGAGGAATAAAATAAAAGATGTCTCAAAGAATCAGTGTTCGTGCAAGCGCTGAAAGTAAAAATGACTTTTTCATGCCACAGTAACAGGTTTAGTTCAGGGGCGTAAACCATCTCCAGTTGTGATGTTTTCATGTGTCGACCCAGAACCTGGTTGTCAGTGTAAGATCAGAATCCTGCACATGAACATGGTGATTAATGTCGATAGAAACGGAGCTGAGAAGTGCAAACCGCGACTTGGCATCTTCCGCTCTCTGTGATGCAAAAACTCCCACGTCATCTTCAAAATGCTCTGCTTCCAAATTGATTTCACACCACGAACGCCGCCCACTCCCCTGGAGATTAACAAAGCAAATTCCACTTCTCCCCTCTTAAGGACGCACACGCAGATTTTTTACTCAAACCTCAGATAAGCAGACGTGGAGGATTTTCTTGAGACTACACATCCTTTATCTGTGATTCGTAGGTGCTGTGTAATTGTGGATGGAGTCTAACGTGTGGTCCATTTGCTTCATTAATGGGGCAGACGCGAGCCGGCTCAGCCAAGAAAAACGCCCATTGTTCCCTTATACCTCCCCGTTTTTTAATGTGAAGCATTAGTGCGGCAGTTGTTAGTGCTAGACCATAGTGCTTTGCTGATGGTCAAATGACAAAGTCTTAATAGAATATAGTGGGGACGGGCAGGACAAAGGTGGGCAATGTTCAGCTGGATGCAGCCAATTTCTGTGTGAGAGGCCTGCCTAAAAACCCTATTCATGGGCTGTCTAATGCTGGTGCGTAATTAAATGTGATTACTGGAGCAGAGGGCTCCTCTCTGCCTCTCCGAGGGCCACACACAGGACTGGAGGCAGCGTGCATGCGCTCATTAAGGAGGCGCTAACAGATGTACACAAGCAACGGCCACGGGCGTACCTAAAAAGCTAAGCCATTTCTCTCTCCCTGACACACACACAAACATAAACACAAGTAAAAAAATCACGTATCTCCAAAATGTCAACTTTTCAGGCTCGGACAAAAGCAGGATTGGATTTGAAAGGGAATTTGCCCAAAGGGTGGCAGAATTTTTTTAGGCGAGGGGTATGTAATCCTTCAACTGGAGTTTAAACAGAAATTGGAGATGCAGGTTTTTTTTTTTTTTCCTGACAGTTAAATCTCACCGAAACGCACAAGAACAAACAAACACATACCGAGTCGTGCAGCGGTAAATAAAAATCAGGCTAAACTATGACCTTCAGTCAGTGATAATCATAAGGCAAACACGCAGAAATATAAACAAAAATCAATTATGGTTTCCATCTACATACACAGACACACACACACCTTGTCTGGCCTGCGCTCCGGTCCAGTTTCCTGGGCAGACACAGTCCCCTGGTGCTCATGGGAAATAGTGAGCATGCCAGACCCCACAAAGGCGTCCTTTCAGTCGCCCGCATGCTTGACCTGTGCAGGGTCAGCGCTCTGCTTTGTGCCCCGTGACCCCCGAGTGACCTGGGGGTCGCTGCGAGGGCCCGAGGTCAAATCCAGATGCCTGCGTCCAATTTCACCCCGACTGGGTTATCCGTCCAAATCTGCACGAAAATGCCCCCCACCCAAAAAGGAAAAAACACAACTACCTCCACACATGTCTGAGTCCCATAGAAATACATAAGTACTCTGCAGTCTAATTGGACTACTGTGGAGTAGTGCTCACACTCAAGCTCTATCCTACCTACACACACACGCGCACACACAGGCACACACACACAGGCACACACACACAGGCACACACACACAGGCCTGACCCCCTGTAACTGCACTAATACCCCATCCCATGGTCTTAGGTCTATCTTGAGGGATTAGGTGCAGAAAGACACACACAAGCACAGATACATCCATGCATGCTCGGACACACACACACACACACACACACACACACACACACACACACACA